CTTCTAGTATGTGTACTTTGTCACTTTTTTTCTCTTTAATTTGTATTTAACTTTAATTTACCTTTTGTTCATTTGCCTATGTAGGATGCATATCAATCCCATTCATATACCTTCTGGCCTTGGACATAAGGCTTTTGAAGGCCCCATTCTACAAGTGCCAGCATTTTGGTAGCAAATGGACATAATCTTTGCCTTTTGGGACTTGGGCAAGGCCATGCAGTAGATGCTTCTAAGCACAGCTGGGTATTTTTACAGAACAGTCTAAGTTTAATTGCTCTTCTAGGCAGTGAGCCATTTTGGGGAAACAAGTTCTTAGGACATCAAATTCTGAAGCTGTCATAGCTTCTGTCTTAATCCTACCATGTTTCACTAGTTGCTGGCACCTATCACACCCTGTCTTGAAGACATTCAAGTAAGATCCCTTTCGCTTGCTGAGAATCCCCAGGACTTTGTAGTTTTAACACTGGCATCAGGAAAATCATACAAGAACAGCCTGTATCTGCTAAAAGACCTGTTCTACCCAGGCCCAATTAGGACAAAAAGAAGAAAGAGGAAAGGGATAAAGGGCCTCTGATGACACTGTCCCCCCGCTCCCATTCAAGCCTCTATATTTGTGGGTATTTAATTCTACCACTTTCCTTCATTTTCAATTCCAACAATACCATCATTGCTGGAATCACCAGTTTGGACCCTTTAGTCTCCTTTGGGTCTTCCTTAGGCTTAAGACTTGATTTCAGAGGGAGAAATTTGTGCAAATTATCTGCTGTGATCTGGCTCCCCTCTCCAGTCTCACGTGACTATTTTTCTTCCCCCAATTTGCCTAGCTTCTATGTCCTTTCATTAGCCTTTGCTCTTTCAGAACTGGGCATGTCAACAAGCTTTCTGAAGTCCCAGTCTACTCCCTACATGTTGTCCAGTGCAGCCTCCAGTATTGTGATGCCAAAAACAATATGTTCCATGCTTCAGCCTCATTTTCTTCTTGGCTTTTATTGAAGTACCATGACTATTTGTCTAACTATGGTTGTCTTTCTCAGGAGCAAATCTGTAACAGACAAGTTCTTAAGATATCACTTGCCTACCCATCACAACTCAGAATGCCCTTCAGTGAAGCTTTCATACCAAACTCAAATTCTCCACAGCCTCCCACCCAAAGACTACCGCCTTTTCCTCCATTAGAAATGGAGCTTCTGTCCTTGCATGCTTCACAACCCCACAATCTAGCAGCTGCCTTTGATCTTGGGGCTGTTGCCCACTCCCTGTTATGCAGGACTCAATTGGATATATCAGGGGCAACAATATGAAGTTTCCTCCATTGCTTTTCCATGTGTTTTGCCACCTGATCATGAACCAGGCTTTTCTATAGTGAACAGGTTTTTCTGGTGGTACAAGCTCTTCACCTCAAAATCTAGAAACCATCACAGACCACTGAGGATGATTCTAGCCTTGAGACATGTATCATAGCATGGCTAGAGTAGAACCTTTGCTACATATTAGAAAGAAGCCATAAAACAGTTGATTGCCATCTGTCAACATGACAGTGCAATTCCTTTTTATGCCCATCATAATTTAATTGCAGCACTTCTTTCTCCCACCTCCACCCCCATGTTTTAATAGAATTTTTCCCCCCTGCATTTCTCAGCCTTGAAACTGAGTGGTTGTTGTATGTTGACATAACCAACATTTCTGTACTGAGAAACTCTGGCTCACAGCTTAACTTCAGTAATCAATAGTGAGCCAACTTGCTTACAGAAAATGTACTTGTGTCTCCTAGAGCAGCAAAATGGGCATGGAAGCAGTAATGGCATTACTGGAAGCAACACCAGATACTCCAGCCTGTGTGGTGAGTCTCTCTGGGAACCAGTCAGTGCGCCTACCCCTAATGGAATGCGTGCAAGTGGTGAGTATTTCACAGAAATACAGAAGCCAAATATGTTCAGGATAGAATGCTGTGGCTTTGTTTTTATTTGGGGGGGGGGGGCGAGAGAGACAGAAAAATAAATGGAGGAGATAGGGAAGTTGACAATTGACACTGGTGATGCTGACATCCTAATGCTCTCCAAATCTACAGGTAGTC